GTCGTCTCCTGAATCGGCACGAAATGTGCAACTAATTCCGAGCGCTGATCTAATGTATAGGAGATAGAAGATTGGACCATAGGATCTCATTGACAGGGTATCGAGAGATCTTTCAATCCCTCCAGGCGGTTTTTCGAAATTCGTAAATTTTTGAAAAAGTTTGGGGTGTTGGGGGTTATAGGTCGCCATCATTTTTCGTTTGAAACCGAGTACCTACGTCGATGCGTCTCGTTGAGACAAGCAACTTTGGTCCTATAAACATATAGCGGACAACGAATATTTACGGAGTTATAGCTCTTTTTCGTCGTCGATTTTTTGGTTATCGGGGCCTAGAACTCGGAAACTATAGGACAGAGCTCGGCGTTAGTTGCACATTTCGGCTCGATTTTTGAGACGACGCGTCGCGACGCCTGCCGCTCTCCCAGCACCGCACGGACGCTGACGGCCGAGCCGCCGATAGCCTTGATTAAGGAGCGTCTGTGTAACAAATAGACTGATGATGAGCGAGCACCTTTCAGAAAATAAAATTTTAAGTTAATAAAATTTTAGATGCATCGTGTTATGCACGTCATCGAACTTTTGGTCTTAGAATTTTCTCCATGTTTGGGTCCACATACTTATGTAAATGCTGTTTCTCTAAAATAAATTTAATAAAAACGGAAAAACGTTCTTTAAGCGATGCATCATTATCCTCTCTAATGCGAATTAATTCTTCTTCTATTTCTGTGGATATATCATCCTTAGTAAAATTGTGCAAACGACCAAAAAGATCTCATGACAATTATTAAACTGATTATTTCGATTTTTTTCAATTTATTCAATTTCTTTATTTATTTTTCTTTTATTATGTTATATATAAAATTTCCTGCCAAGTTATATTTATATAGATATTATATTATCTATGTTATTTTTTAGTGGAATAGGCCTACTGGGGACACCAATTTAAAAAAAACGCATTTACAATAGTACCTCAAGGGTAATGTGGAAAACTATTTATTTCTAATTAAAAAACTATAAAATTTTTATTAAAAAGTTAAATTTTTTAATAATTTAATTTATTTTAATTATTTTTATTTTTAAATATTATATATTATTGTCTAGGTAAATTATTATTATGAATGTAATAAAGATATTTAATTATAATTAGTGAAAATAAATATTATTTTTATAACAAAGAAAATTTTATTTTCTGAAAGTTGCCCGCTCATCATCAGCCTATTTGTTACATAGACGCTCCTCAAGGCTATCGGCGGCTCGGCCGCCAATGGCCGCGCGGTAGTGGGAGAGCGGGAGGTGTCGTCTCAAGAATCGAGCCGAAATGTGCAACTAACGCCGAGCTCTGATCTAATGTCTTGAAAATGATATAATATATCAAACTCTTTTGGCAAGAAATTAACCATACATTCTTCTAAAATTACCTCTGTTGTATTTCGAAAAATAAGCATTGTCAAAGAATCGTACCAAGATTTTTTTACAATTATCGTTCTTATCTCTTTCTTCATGAATTTCCTTTTTTTCTATGCATACTAATGCAACTCAAAATTAAAATAAGTAGAATACTGTGCCTTAAAATATCCAAGTGTTGTGTGATTTATTATAATAACATTATATTGGTTCATAAGTGATTCAGTGTAGCAGCGCGCCAAGTTTTTTTGCATAAAATATTTTTTTAATTTTTATTGGCGTCAATTTTTTTATAAATATAAAAATAATCAAAAAATGTTGTGCTGTCAAAGATACAAATAATTCGTATTCTTATGAAAATATCTAAAAATAATTCAAACAACTTGTTATTCAACATGATTGCACGCTAAGAATTATTTTCTTATTTTAAAAAACTGCAAAGATAACATGTAAACAAAAATTTATTTTAAACATTTAATTATAAACTAATATTTAACAAGTTATTATTTTTCTAATTTAAAATTACTTCTTTTTAAAGTATAATCCAATTACAAATTATTATTTAAACATTTCAAACATTTTCTGAATCAATATCAACGTAAAATATTATTTTAATCATACTGCCCAGACAACACAGCATATCCAAAAGACGTCCAGAGGATATCCTGAAGACGTTTTGGAACGACAGGACATCCTCTGGGTATCATTTGGATGTATTTTGGACATGTTTGCTGTCTGGATGAAATATAATTTAATATTTTGAATTAATGAATCGAATAAAAATTTATTGCGCAAAAATAGTTATTTTCAATGTCTCAATTATTCAGTTGACGATCAATTAATATTTAGTTTTATTTAATCTTACAAATAATTGTAAAAATCAAGTTTTGTTTTGAGACTTTGTGATTATTACATAGTCTTAAATAAAAAACGTAATTGTTATGTTATGCATTGTAATGTATTGAATAACAATGTTTTCTGTCCATAAATCAAACATTTAATTTGTGTTATTATGCGTCTTCTGAACATCATTATTGACAGCTCATTCACAGATAGCATTCGATGACACTCCCCACCAAGAATATGTTAAAACCTCATGCGCAGACGTTCTTATACCTAGTTTGCTTTGGCACGCATCAATGACATGTAGTCGATGTTACGACTTGAAAAACGACTCATTGTACAAGTCACTCGGTAATCAGTGAAATTATCGGATCGGCGCGCGTTTGCAAATTTGTGTGTTTACGAGTATACGATTTTTCAGTGTTCCATAAAGACAAAAAAATACATCATCAGATAGATTCAGGAAAACTCGAATGCAATCTTACGGGCATTTTTCTACTCTTCTCAAAAATTTTCTGGCTCCGAAAAAATAAGAGTTGTTGCTAGTAAGATCTGCTGCTCATCAAAATTGACATCGCTGCTTAAACAGTATGTACCGGCTTTGAAAATTATAAAACAATCCTTTATTCTAGAAATTTTACTATTTTACTGAGTAATAACAATTTTCCTTTACTACGACGCAGTTAAAGAAAACTTATTTTGCATAAAAAATACAAAGAAATCACTAAACGCTTCATCAAAATACCAAATGTACAATACAAAAGCTAAGACATTATGTAGGTTATCGTATCGTTTCTGCAAATAGATAACGAAACTTATACTTTTAAATAGATAACATTTATATACGTACAATTTTTATCATCTAATTGTACATTACGTGCATTACAAAATAAGTATATGACAATTAAGAAGACGTTATCGATAACAATTTTTAATAAATGATAAGTGCAAATATATTTGCAAATGCGTAAATTATACTGTTAATATTAAATATTAAAATCTACATTTCTTATTACATTTTTTACGTATATGAGTTCATGCCAAAGATAATTTCTTGTTGACCTATAAATTACTCTTTTATCTAATCAGCTTGAATGAATTTCGAAATTTTACTTCTGTAATTGGTGATGATAAATGTATGCTACATACTGTTTCGCAAAAGAATTGAATTATTAAAAAGATGCGTAGTCTTATGTATGCTCGGCTTAAGTTATTTTCGCTGTACATATCAAACTAATATTGATCGTGCATACTTGCATACTTGACCAAAGAGCAATGTTCTCGAATTCGGCTTACACGTATATATAGTCAGCTGCAGAAAATATCGTCGCAAAACCATTGAGAGGAAGAACTATTTATATTGTCTAAGCTATTGAAAAATAAATGGAAAACAACGCCTATGAGAAATTAAACGTAAAATAAATCTCTACAAAAATAAGTTAAAAAAAAAATAAAACATTTCTCGACAGAGATTTTTTTTAAACGAAAATTTCTGAATAAATTTGAATAGAGTTAAGTTTATGATATAATTAATAGCCTGCGAATATTGCTACAAAATATATTACTATTAAAATTAATAGTAAACATAATGTTATTTTGTCTGCATTATATTTGATTACTTCCATGATGTTATGTCTGCGTTATGCTTAATTACTTCCGAATATCAGATATTGCTCTATGCGATCAAGCATTTTTTTAAACAAAATTAAATTGTTGCTTAAATGACCGTAATATACTTACTACTTTTTTTCTAAACATTACATTTGCTAATTTTTTTCATGTTTACACAATTTTTTAACTTTTCACTTCTTCGATCTTGTTTAACGGAACAACAAAAATTTAATATTGCGTCTATATCTTTACATAATCTTACAATATTACATCTAGATTAAAATCGTGGATGTCAATACACACCTAAATAACATTACGTCAACATGTCTTGTGTTTGATAAAAACTATTATGTATGTGATTATTATCACTTTAAAAAAACCTCCACGACTGTTTGCTAACGTCTTCATGGACACATTATTATTCAATACGTAGACCAATCATGCGATGGTCTAAGAACGTGTTTGTTACGTATATTTGGAGCTTCGTGAATGTGCATCGTGACACGAAAGTCAATACTAAGATTGGACCACCTATTGTTATATTAGTGTCCATAACAAGTAGCACGATGGTGATTTTAAAATTTGTTACGCAACTTCGGGTACTAACTCGATGATAAACATTGTGAATTATTCAATTAGCACGTGTTGTCTTTTATGTGCCGTTTTTTTATTGTCGTACGCATCAGAGAAATCAGATTAAATTTTTAATTAAGAATAGATACTAGTCACTGCTTATTAATTTTTTTAGTATTTATAAAACATGCTATTTGTTTCTGGTTTGTGATATAGATTTTTGCAATATTTAAAAGAATTATATATTATATTCTTGATTATATTCTTGAATTATATTCTTATAATTATATTCTGAGAAAATTATTAAAATTTATTATCTAATTAAGCAAGACTTTTAAATTAATATTATATTTTTATTAATTTTTTTATAAAAAAATTATATTTACGAAAATATAGTAGATAAAAGTTCGCAAGTGTGATCTTTAAACTGCGAAGATTAGAAAACAACAAGTTTTATAACTCAATTCGAAGAATAATTAGAATGTAAATGGAAAAACATCAAGAATTATACATCGTATAAGATTTAATAGCCTCAAAGTTACAATTGAGATATATTAAAGTTATAAAGTTAATCGCCGTGCAATTATGTTTGTAATTACACAAAATTAGAAATAGGCTAAGGCTAATTAAAATTTATGACTAACAAAGAAGGGTTGACAACTCGAATTTTCTAAAAAATCTGAAACTTTATAGAAATATAATACATATAAACCAAATAAAAAATTTTTTGTTTTGGCTAAAAAAATTATATATGCAGCAGCATTGTGCAATACGCATTACGTGTTCATATACATAAGTCGATAAATCAAGCGATCTAAGGTGAAGAGCGCAAAGTCCGCACTCACATAATTGAAACGGGGCGAGGACACAATTGAGAGTGAGACACCTGAGAACAGAAAAAATAGATGGAGAAGATTTGTTACGAATTGCGTACGTGATTTCTTTTCGTTAATCCGCAGTTTGATTTCATTTCTGAAAAAATTTTTTAAAACTAATCGCACAGGCGTCGGCCTGTTGTGCGTACTTTGATTTTGTGTGATAAAACTGTTCTGTTCACGCCTAGCGAACGTATTAAATTAATTGACTACGAACTTTTATTCCAACATAATTTAATGTAATTAAATAATTTATAATTATTTTTAACATTATTATTTATTAAAACAATGTAATTTAAATCGCTGTTCTAGAAAAAGTTGGTATATGAAATAATTTCTCCAGCGTGCAATTCTTATTTTTTCGAATGCTTATTACATAACTTAATTCGCTCGACAGTATAAAACAGATAAAAGATATTTGCCTTGTTGAATTGCATACTAATTCACACTGCTGCAACTAAGAGCGATGTAAACACAAATCATTATGGTTTTTTTTTGTTTAAATTATGCTGAAATATGATAAATCACACGTTTTACATCGGAGCATCGTGATATGGAAAAATCATAAGTATATTTAAAGAAAAGAAACACGTCTGATCTGATTGCTACTTGAAATTGCTATATTTCTTACATTTTTAAAATAACATTTTACTTATTTTCGAACATTAAAGGTTAATTTTAGTTTCTAAAAGAAATTATAATCGTCAATTAATACATACAATTTTAGAAAGCTTAAAAAAATTTTTTTATTTTATTATAATTAAATAATAAAATTTGTCAAAATTAAGGAGGTAATAAAACAATTTTTTTACTTTTTATCATAATGTTAAAAATTATTAAAAATTATAATATATTGAATTTAATATTTTTTTAATATCTGAGTCGGAGATAAAAAATATTTATAAAAATAAGAAAAATTGGATTTTGTTTGAAGAGTGTTTCTACCCTTAAAACCATTTTTTTAGCCAAAACAAAAAATAGCTTTTTGATTAAATTTATATGTATTTCTGCAAAATTTCAGATATTTTAAAAAATTCGGGTTGCCGAATCTTCTTTGTAAGTAACTGTTAATTTTTTATTTTTCAACTTTTTTGGTTTTTTATCTAGTTATATACAGGGTGTTTCATAATGCCCGTGCCAACACTCGTGTGCGGGTGGAGTGCGGTAAACTAAATAGAAAAGTCCTTTATTGTTTTGCAATTTTTTGCAAAAATAATTGAGATATTAATTAAAAAGGATTGACGAATAATTGCGCGTTGCACGCGGCTAGATTATGGGCTGTACACTTTAGGCGTGACAGCAACGAGAATCGCACGGCAACGAAAAATAACAACGCATGGCAAGAGCAAGAGTAATAC